GTGTGCCTCCTTCAGAGCTCCGCCGTCAGCAAGAAAGTCCACTTTCAACAGTGTGTCATGACATTCCTTTCGAAGACTTTTTTCATGAAGGAACCCGTGGACACACTTTTTTCAAAAATAGCCTAGTTTTCCACATCCTTCACGATCCTGGGAGGTCCTGGAGGACGAGTTAGGAATTTATTTCAGGTTGGACCCACCGTCTGCTGCCAGCGAAGCTGCTGACCACCAGCCGCTTCAGGCACATCCATCGCAAAGGGGTCACAGACGGTGGCCCCCGCTGGCCCAGCACAATGAGGTGGAGAAGGCTGGAGTCTGGAGAATCCTAGCAACCCCCTGGAGCCCCAGTCCGCGCAGATCACCTGGGCTTCTGGTCGCTCGCTGCCACCACGACCTAGAGCAACCCTGGGTGTCCATCGAGTTCCACCTCCCTCCCTTTCCTCCCATCTCCATTCCGCGGCCTCAGCATGGTTCCCCAGGGAGATTCCTAAGAGCCAACAGGAAGAGGCAGATGCTAGGCGCGTCCCATGGTGGAGACACTCCAAGTTCCCTCTCCTCTGGGAATATTCCAGAGAGAGAGGCAGGCCCCCACCACAGGAACACCCCGTCCCAGCTGCCTATGACCTTCAAAATTGGTCCTTCTCGGTGTAAAAACAATGCTTCTAGCCAGAACAAGTTGTTTATTACATTTATTCAGAGTATTTCTCTCTGCCCAAGGTGCAAACCCTTCCCCAGAAAACTGGGGCTCTTGCAGTATGGGGCTGCAGTTGGCAGACGTTTAAAAAGCCTGATTTCCTGCTGGGTCTTCCGTGGCCTCTGCTTTGAAATGCCATGCATCCAACTCTCGATGGAAAAAATAAATATTTGCAGATTAAAGGTTTCATTTTATTGCAAATACTCCTGGAGATTCAATGTCATTGTAATCACACGTCCATTTTATTTCGCGGGGTGCATCCCATTTGCATGCATTCGTGGGCGGCAGGAGACGAGTTTCCGTGTGCCAGCTGGGGTTTATTTACCACACGTTCTCATGCCCGCACGAGCGTGGAG